TATCTTAGGACAGCCACTAGAACGCTAAATCCTGGGAGCACTATTTAGCGATACTGCTTCACGTGTGTGTGTGTGTGGTGTGTGTGTGTGTGTGTGTGTGTGTGTGTGTGTGTGTGTGTGTGTGTGTATGTATGTGTGTGTATCTGCGTATGCGTGCACGCACTCGTGCGTGCGAAATTGGAGAAATTATAAGCAAAATTTGTCACTTTTGCATGGAGGAAAGTGCTGCTGGCAACTTTTACAAGTTCAGAATAGTAAGTCAGGTAGTGAGTAGACTTGGGACAACACCCTATTAAATTAATAGTCTCTAAGACTCCACCGTTCCTTAGATCAAACCTGAGTTCCTCCCGTTCTCCACATGGTGTGTCGCCCTTACGGGTTTAACGCTTCATAACAAGTCAAAGTGGTGACGTTACTTGCTATTCTGAATGATTGCATAGGGAATATTCCGAAATTTGTGCCGGGGAATATTCCCTACTTGTGCAGGGAAATAGTTACCACTTTTTCAAGGAGATCCCCTCAGTGGAGGTGCTTGATACCTACGAGAGGCTCTTGATCCAAGGATCTAGAATTGTACTACCTTGGATCTAGCCTGAATGCTTCAGTTTTCCCAAGAGCTATGTGACCCTTACATGTTTAGCGCTTCATTCTGATTAAAATAGAATCTTCACTAGTACAGAAATATTTTGGTGTTCAGGGAAATATTCCCCGCTTGTTTAAGGAAATATTTTCCTTGTGCTCAGGGAAAATATTTACCACTTTTTATTGGTAATATTTACCACATGTTCATATAAGTGTTTATTTTTAAAGCGGAGCAATATTCATAATACAAATATATAACTACGTCCTCACTACCCTCGCCAAGTGCCAGGTCAACCAAACTGTGGTAGCTACGTGGCTTGTGTGTGTAATGGCCCATGACTTCTGGTATTTCAGATAGTATGTCTCTTTTATTTCAAATAGTATCTGTCTCTTTTATTTCAAATAGTATCTGTCTCTTTTATTTCAAATAGTATCTGTCTCTCTTATTTCAAATAGTATGTCTTTTATTTCAAATAGTATCTGTCTTTTTTATTTCAAATAGTATCTGTCTCTTTTATTTCAAATAGTATCTTTTTTATTTCAAATAGTATCTGTCTCTTTTATTTCAAATAGTATGTCTCTCTTATTTCAAATAGTATCTGTCTCTTTTATTTCAAATAGTATCTGTCTCTTTTATTTCAAATAGTATGTCTCTTTTATTTCAAGTAATGTCTGTCTGTCTCTTGACTATCTAGTCCACCAAGTATTTTCTACTTGATAACAACATCCCCCTTTTGATCTTCTCTTCTGGGGTTGTTAGGATCATCTTCAGTTTCTTCTCGTAGTCAACTTCCTTAATTCTGATAGTTTTCTTTACTTGTTTGATCATACTCCAAGACGGACTAACATACGAGTATTTCGTATATAGAGCCTTAAAGAATTCTTGCTAAAGTTTTTGGAAGCATTTGCTGCTCAGATATTTGAACCCATCTGTACATATTGTTACTTGCTTTTTCAAGATTTTATATATATATATATATATATATATATATATATATATATATATATATATATATATATATATATATATATATATATATATATATATTCATACATTACATGCATACATACACGAAAGTGCTCCAACACCCGTACGTTCTTTAGCTTCCTTCGTGGGCGATAAATCGTCTCTTTAACTGTAATTTTCATGTCATCTTCGTGAAAATGTTATGCATACCTCTGTGTGTGTGTGTGTGTGTGTGTGTGTGTGTGTGTGTGTGTGTGTGTGTGTGTGTGTGTGTGTGTGTGTAAAAGTGTGTGAAATTACTCATTTCCAGTTACAAGAAAATAGACTCGTGGCGCTGTCTCCAGTGTTTGGTGACTTATTTTTATAGTTTTTTGTGGTTGAAGCACCAACTACTGTACCTCCTCTTGAATATCATTCATGCAGTCTGCCACACAGTCTGTAAAGCATGTATGTACTGTTGCAGTGATGAGTGGACGTGTATGTACTTAGTATTGCAGTGTTCAGTGGATGTATGTTACTAGTGCAAGGATGAAAAGAAATGTGTGTACTAGTGGAATGACGAATGGATGTATGTTACTGTTAGAGTTATGAATAGATGTATGCTACAATTGCAGTGATGAATGTATGTGTGTGCTGTTGCAGTGATGAATAAATGAAAGCTTGAAATATATTTTAAGAAATCCTATCAGCAAGTAATTCATATTGTCCTAGTAAAACGAAATCACCAGTATCTAATTTGAAGCCGCGAATGCCCACTCACTTGTTGGCGTTTGCCATACCATGGTGAACTCTTTGAGAGTTAACGATACGATATCACCCATATGGATAGCTATATTTGTATGTCGGAATCATGTCACCACTGTGAGTTCCATACTGGTGCTGCAGACTCAAGGATAAGCTTGAAATATGCCGTGAATAGTGTCGTAAGTGACTCCTTGTTGATCTTGCAGTACGCTAACCTTAGATTCCAGCTTCGCGTTTGTTGGTGAAGTCATTCAGTTGATCATATTTTTGGCAACTACAGGTGTACCACATGGACAATGGATGCATACATGACTACCTATCAACTAAATTCATTGTAACGATGGATAAATATTATAATTGCTTTGCATATGTATGTTTTTCCATGAAATTCAAATTTTAATAATTATCACAGTTCGTATCACAAGCAATATAAATATTTGGGAGTTGCACAAGAAGAGAAAAATATAGACTGCTTTACTTGTATGTTTGATTGGTGTATTTTTAATTATTAAATAACCATATACTGTAAGCATAAAAATTATTAGAATATTTTTGGTAGGTAAGACACGTAGGCAACAGTTAGGTAACTTTATTCAGAAACGTTTCGCCTACGCAGTAGGCTTCTTCAGTCGAATACAGAAAATAGGCAGGAACAGTAGAGATGTGAAGACGATGTAATCAGTCCATCACCCTTGAAGTCGTAGATTTGAGGTTGTCAGTCCCTCAGCCTGGAGAAGTTCAGTTCCATAGTCAGGAACTATATCAGGAATTATTTTTCATTACCCAGTCAGACATACTATTTAATATTTAATCCTATTTATATAAAAATGTTTGATGTGGTTGAATACGATTTGTATGTGACCGGAAGGATTATAATTTTGATTATTTTGGGAACTCTCGGAATATAACCTCAGTTATTTTATGATAAATAAGACACATGTGCACCAGTTAGTTTATCCCCTTAGTCTGGAACAATGTTTCAGACTATGGAGCAAAACTTTGTCTCCAGGCTGAGGGACTGACCACCTCAAAACTACATCTTCAAGGGCGATGGACTGATCATATCGTCGACACACCTCTACTACTTCTACAGCCTCCTCTGTATTCGACTGAAGAAGTCTACTGTGCAGGCAAAACGTCCCGGAATAAAGATACCTAACTGTTGCACATGTCTTACTTTTCAGCTTGTCGGTATTGTATACTATTATCATATTTGATTCTTTTATAAACGGTAAGAATGCACTATCGAATGATTTATGAACTGTAAGAATATGATCTACATTTCCTCTTATGTGTAAGAATGTAATCCCAATTATAATGATTTTGTTTTATAAAACGTTTATTCACCATGTATATTTTTACAGCATTATGAATGAAAGCTTCAACTACTGACCAGTTATAATTTAAAGCATTTGTACATATTTACAGACAAAATATACGAGCAAATTCTGGCTATTATTGATAAAATCTACGTCGTGTGGCTTTACTGATTTGTAATGTTTATAAGCATCATACAACTTTTCCAGTTGAAGTTAACTCAAGTGACCTTGGAAGACGTCAGCGCTAGAAAGATCAAAGAGAAGTCACATAGTGAAAACCAGTGAGACTGAAATGGTGTTGGAATCTGTATTTTTTTAAGAGAAAAGAATAAAAACATTTGACAAAAGTTTGTGATTTTGGGGGTGTAACTTGATGGTGGAAAACAACGAGGGTAGCCGTGGGTAAAGGTGAAACTCGTTAATTGTAAAATAAGCTATACACATTTTGGGAAATTACTATGCGCAGATCCTTGTTTTTAAAAGGAGTGTAGAACCTAGCTTCGCTGCACAAGCGGACGTTTAACCACTTGCGTGGTCATCATCTGGTGACGACCCTTGTCAAGAGACACTTGTCCTGCTTCCTGACGAGCAAACCACTATCATCAACAAAACCAGTGTGTGTTTAGTATCTCCTATATTTATTATCTTGTGATACTTCATGAGCACAATCTCCGATGTAATGGGTCCTTCAGTATGGCATGTATGACATGCATGTTGCGTGTACCCTCAGCATGGTCAGGCATCGTAAGAAGTGTGTGACACTTCTGTTTTGGTTTGTTACTCCTTTCTCGTACCCTTTCCCTCCTACACATTGACTAACTTCATTCTTTCATAATATTTATCAGTTTTTCCTGTACCTGGCTTAGCCTCCCTTAACTTAATAATGGTCAGCCTGTGGGATAATAATGGTTCCAGATAGCGTAGCTTGGTTTTCTGTCTTGAAGTAAATCATGATGTAGGCAGCACATAAGCTACTCTATACCAGCTGTATCTCCTACTCCGTCTTCATCTCTTGACGTGACATTAAAGTAAACTGGCATCTCTGGGCTTCAGTCAAACTTTAGCTGTAACACAGTTTCACTTTTCCTATTCATTCATGTAGAAAGTTTTCCTCTCCATGTCCAATCCATTTATCATTTACGTGGAGTTGCTTCCTGTAACCCCTTGTCCTGGGCCCCCTGGAGTCCTCCGCGGGGGTAGGAGCCCCTTGCCCAGAATGGACGACCCCCCCTGGGAGTGGGGGTCGTCAGAACCACCTTCCCCTCCTCCCATTCCTCGGCTGGTGTACCAGCTGCTGCTGCAGGTAGAACTAGAGCTGTCACTATATGTGGCTGCTGCGGCGCTCCTTTATGCCTTTATGTTAGTCTTCCTTAACTCTGAGTGCCCACGTATTGTGGAGAAGAATCCCAGAAAGTTCAAGATTGATGGCGGCGAGCTAGCGGCGAGGAGGACCTTCATCGAACACACCAAGGAGGAGGTTAAGGTATGTCACTCTCTTCTACTTTCCTCTCGAGGAAGCCTTTTCATGTTACTTACGGTTTTCATAATTCGAGTACTTATAGGGACGTCAGGGAAATTCAGGGCAACTCTCTCGATGTTAACTATTCATTTTTTATTGTTACGAGTTATTTAAACTTTGTGATATTTTTTTTCTTGTGTAAGTGGTTGTTTTTAGTTCTGAGGGTTAATTTTAGTCTATGAGTTTTAGTGTGTATGAGTGTACTGTATATATATAGCTGCCTTCTTATTGACGACAGTACTGAAGGACGTAGTATCAAGTTTTCTGTGAGTAATAACTTCCTTCCGGAATGTAAGGTCCTACTGTATATTCACTATCCTCTACCTTTCCCTCAAAGGAGGTTTCTTGACGCCATTGAGGAGCTTTTGATCCAAGGTATTTTACTTGCCTTCCTCTTCCTCGGATCGATCCTGATGGCCTCACATTCTCCCCAGACGCTGTATAACACTTATGAGTTTATTGCTCCCTCATGAATATAATAAATTCTTCTTCCTTCCCAAGGGAAATGTATTCACCTAATTGTGGCTGTGCTTTTACTGTGGTAAAGTGATGTGGAAGTAAGTGCGAGACTGCACACCGGTACACTTATATGCCTTATACCTTTGAAGAGTTTCGAAAATTTATTATCTACTCTCTGAGCCCGGCCATGGGCTGCACACAGCTCACGTTACACATGTCCTGTATCCTTCCTGGGATGTTCAGAGCCTCAAAAGCACAAATAACCCGCACATATGAGAAAGAAACTTACAACGTTGTCATAAGTTTCCCTCTCGTACGTGCGGGTTATTTGTGTATTGTTCCAGTCACGGTATTGTGCATTTTTATTCTTCATAAGCTCCAAAACTTGACTCTTCGTCCTAAGATGTAATGTAACCTTTATTTGTCATATTTTCTAGACTCTTCAGGACAGGTCCTGTCACCTGTCCGTCTCTAACTTTCGTTGACCTGACAATATAGAATTACATTGAGCTTAAGAGCTATAAAAAATTGCAGACTATTTGCATTACATACATTATTATTATTACTTTCATAGAGAGCATTAAAACCAGTATGGGTTGTTCTTCAACTCTATATATCCTTAGTTAGGCCTCATTTAGATAATGCTGCACAGTTCTGGGCGCCATATTGCTGAATGGATATAAATGCACTGGAAAACGTACAGAGGAGGATGACAAAATTGATCCCATGTATCGGAAATCTTCCCTATGAGGATAGACTGAGAGCCCTGAATCTGCACTCTCTAGAAAGGCGTAGAATTAGGGGGGATATGATTGAGGTGTATAAATGGAAAACAGGAATAAATAAAGGGGATGTAAATAGCGTGATGAAAATATCCAGCCAAGACACGACTCGCAGCAATGGCTTCAAGTTGGAAAAGTTCAGATTCAGGAAGGATATAGGAAAGCACTGGTTTGGTAATAGAGTTGTGGATGAGTGGAACAAACTCGAGTACCGTCATAGATGCTAATACGTTGTGTAGTTTTAAAAATAGGTTGGATAAATACATGAGTGGGTGTGAGATGGACCTTACTAGCTTGGGCTACCAGGTCTGGTGCCGTGCTCCTTCATTAAGTGGAAGTGCCCTGACTAGGTGGTCATTGTTCTAGTCCGGGGAGGGGTGGCATGGACCTGCTTCGCATGGGTCAGTAGGCCTGCTGCAGTGTTCTTTCTTATGTTCTTATGTAACGCCTGGGGAATTGGGAGACATTCAGATTTGATTCAAAGACGGGGAGGACATCAAGGACGGGAGGTTCCTTGATGCCACGTACACCTCGCACGCTGTTGTGTACTGTACCACTTCTTTACCAGACATTGTACCACTTTGTTGTCAGACACTATACCACTTCTCTGCCAGACACTGTACCACTTCTCTGCCAGACACTATACCACTTCTCTGCCAGACACTATACCACTTCTTTGCCAGACACTATACCACTTCTCTGCCAGACACTATACCGCTTCTCTGCCACACACTGTACCACTTCTCTGCCAGACAGTGTACCACTTCTCTGCCAGACACTGTACCACTTCTCTGCCAGACACTTTACCACTTCTCTGCCAAACACTATACCACTTCTCTGCCAGACACTATACCACTTCACTGCCAGACACTATACCACTTCACTGCCAGACACTATACCACTTCTCTGCCAGACACTATACCACTTCTCTGCCAGACACTATACCACTTCTCTGCCAGACACTATACCACTTCTCTGCCAGACACTATACCACTTCTCTGCCAGACACTATACCACTTATCTGCCAGAGACACTATACCACTTCTCTGCCAGACACTATACCACTTCACTGCCAGACACTATACCACTTCACTGCCAGACACTATACCACTTCACTGCCAGACACTGCTGGATACTATTAGCTGCTGCATTAAATATCAGTCATAACACTGACTACACACTATAGTACTAAATCCTCCTTGCATGACAAATTACATTGCTCACGGTAGCACATCACAATACTTTATTTTTATACAGTCTACCAGTGCTCTCTGAGGAATAATAATAATAATGTATACAGTGTGTAACTTCACGAATTCTGTACACTTCACGACACCATCATTTCACACTTAGGTATCAACCTGTCCTAAAACTGTCAGATTCTTACATTTCTTAATGTACGTTATTCAGGTTTGACTGGGTTAATTTTTTTTTATTGAGGAAATTTAACCAGTTATAACATACAATAACACAAGTGATATATAAAGGCGATCAAGACTTAATCCATGAATAGAAAATGGAGACCCACTGAGCAGACTGCAAGATAAAAAGAATTATGCATACAATTCAATGTCGACCTCCTTTTACAAACGATCTTCGGCGAAAGTAAAAAAAAACTTACGTTGCATGGGTGCTGCTCCTGACCCTCCCACCTTACATTAAGCATAACCATGCAGTTTCCTGGGGCACTCAGATACAAAATTCTGGTCTGCATCTCATCCACCAACCTATCTTCATTATACAATCCTAGGTTTATTTTTACTTGATTTGCAGTATTAATTTTTGAACACTCCATGTAAACTTAAAAATTATTGTACTGTTTTCTTTACTTTAGGATAAGTTGCATAAACCTATAAAAATAGATATTAGAAAAGCAATTTGAAAAAGGCAGCAACATTGTGCAACACGGTGGCTGAGCAACAAGAGTAAGAAACGTTCAGAACTGCAAGTGTATCACTGTAGTGCGAGAATGAATTGTATCGAGACACATGACCCTAGCTGTCACACTTTCTAGACTGACTCTCACTAAAATATCACACTATCATCCTAACTGTGTACATGTCCAACATAAACTCTGTTAGTGATCTTAGCAATGCAGATACTGGTTGGTTGTTTAATATTACTCTGGATATATCGAACCCTACTCACATTATTTAGTGTGTCTACTCTCTGTAAATCAAAGTTAGAGAGTGGTAAATGTGGCTTAGAACATTTTCTTGTATCATTTTGTCTTCTCGTCTTCAGTGTCTTCTTCCTTTTTTCTGACCCAGTTTGAGTAAACATTAGAATAGACTGCATTAAAAAAAACGTTAAGTACTGTATTACTGATGGTACTATTTTTTCCTTTCTTTTCCAGTCCATGAAAGAACGTCTCAACTTAACGAAGAAGGACAGAGACGTTACAGCAAGACAGATTCCAGAAGAAGTGGTAAATATTACTCATGATATATGTTATGTTTTATATTCCTCACTTCTATATTTTAGACTATCGTACAATATAAAAATGTTTTTGGCAAATGATTATCTCGTTATCTTTATTCTATGTAGACTGTGTATAGCATTATTTATTTTTTTTATTGTGCTAAAACTCTAATGGTTACAAAGCTCCTGGGGAAATAATGAGGGGGGAGGGGGGAGGTAAGCAATCAGGTTTAATTTGAGAAAGGGGTGGGTAGGTCCAATTACTTGAAATCCAGAGCCTTTTAGCAACCTCAAGATATCTACCCATCCTTGAAGGGAGAATATTGTATGTTCCACATTGTAGTTTCTTCAGCTTTTACTGATATGCTAGAGTTATGAATTCTTCATTTATCTTTCTGGTTTTTGGCCTTGTAGCATAGTTATTAGCATAATTTAATATAGGTATTTTCACATCTTGCATCTTAGGACACCTGTAGAATTAAATGTATACAATAAATAATGTTGAATCTGGATAAAGCAGTCATCATTATTAAAGTGTTTACATAAAGTAGTATACTTGTAATGTGTTGATTTTGAAATATTTGCAGTACATAATGTGAAAAACATGAAAAATGACAGACATACAGTGGATCCCCGGTATTCGATGGCATTGGTATTCGATAAATCTGGTATTCGATGCATTATATCGCAAAAAAATTTCCTCGGTATTCGATTGAAAACCCGGTATTCGATACGATTCGTACGAGACCTGTCCACATGTGGCCTGAACTGCCCCTTGTGTGCCAGTGTTTACAAGCCAGCCAGTGTGCGCGCATCTAAGGATACATTCGGTACATTCCATATTATCCATATTATCACTGTGTTTGGTGCTTGTTTCTGCAAAATAAGTCACCATGGGCCCCAAGAAAGCTTCTAGTGCCAACCCTGTGGATTAGTGCCAACCCTGAGAATTAGTATGGAAATTAAGAAAGATTTTGAAGGGTTTGGGGCTAACCCTGAGAAGCCTATACCAGTTGTGGAATACATTGTGCCTACTTCAAAAATTAAGGAAATGTGTGCACAGTGGGTTGAAGTGCAAACCTTTATGGATGAAAATCACCCTAACACAGCTATTACAATGACAATGTTGTGGCCCATTTTAGACAAATCGTAAAGGAACGGGAGGTACAGAGCTCTATGGACAGATTTGTTGTGCGACAGAGGTCCAGTGACTCGCAAGCTGGTCCTAGTGGCATTAAAAGAAGAAGGGAAGTAACCCTGGAAAAGGACTTGCTACCTCAAGTCCTAATGGAAGGGGATTCCCCTTCTAAACACTAACACCTCTCCCCTCCTTCCATCCCATCAATCATCACCAGATCTTCATTAATTAAAGGTAAGTGTCAATTATTTTATTGTTATTGTAATTATTCTATTGCATTAAACTTAATATTTCATGTAGTAAAATTTTTTTTTCATACTTTTGGGTGTCTTGCACGGATTAATTTGATTTTCATTATTTCTTATGAGGAAAATTGATTCGGTTTTCGATATTATCGGTATTCGATGAGTTCTCAGGAACGGATTAATATCGAATACCGGAGGTCCACTGTATTCTCCTTTCAAGAAAAGGGGTGTCTTTATGCTAGTGAAGGAGTAGTGATCCAAGGAATTAGAGCTGTCCTCCTTGGATTGAACCTGATTGCCTATCATTCCCTTACTCATGTATGATCCCTACAGGTTTAGTGCTTTCCTAGCACCACATCCTTTTTCTTTTCAATCTTTCTTCTGCACTTCTAAACTTGTTTTGTGAAATATTTTTGTATCTATTCCTTATTTCTTAATGTATACAGTGGACCCTCGGTTATCTGCCGTAATCCGTTCCAGTAGGCCGGCCTAGAACCAAAATGGCCGATAACCAAAATAATTATTCCCCTAAGAATTAATGTAAATACAATTAATCTGTTCCAGACACCCAAAAATATTCACAAAAAAATAAATTTTTTAGAGATTAATTATAGTTTTACATACACAAAACAATGAGAACTAATAAAATAAATACTGTACATGAAGAATTAAATCAGTATTACATACCTTTATTGAAGACTGTTGTTGGCTTACGAAAGATAGGGAGGAGAGTGTTTGGAAAGGGAATCCCCCTCCATAAGGACTTCAGGTATCAAAGCCCTATCTGGGGTTACTTCCCTTCTTTGTCTTTTAATGCCGCTAGGACCAGCTTGAGAGTCACTGGACCCCTGTCACACAAAATATCTGTCCAGAGAGCTCTATTTCTGGTGTCTCTCTAAGATTTCCCAGAAGTGGGACAAGGTTCTGTCACTGAACCTGTTACAGATGTAGCTTCTTTCAACTTGGTCAGCTTGCACCCTAGTCCATATTGCACAAATCTCCTTAATCTCTGAAGGCGGCACCTCCTTCACTTCTTCTTCCTCCTCCTCTGAAGCAAGTTTCTGAGCTGTGGTCTGTTGCTGTTCCAGATGAAACTCTTGCAGCTCTTCAGTGGTTAGCTCTTCCCTGTGGTCCTCCACCAACTCTTCCACATCCTCACCACTAACCTCCAACCCTATGGACTTGCCCAGTGATACAATGGATTCCACAACAGGCATAGGGTCCTCAGGTTCAGCCCCAAACCCTTCAGAATCCCTCTCTTGGAGACATTTTGGCCACAGTTTTCTCCAAGCAGAGTTAAAAGTTCTGGAAGTCACTCCCTCCCAAGCCTTACCTATAAGGCTTATGCAGTGGAGGATATTGAAGTGATTCCTCAAGAACTCTCTTAGGGTCAAATCTGTGTCCGAGGTCACTTCAAAGCACCTTTGAAACATTGCTTTGGTGTACAGTTTATTGAAGTTAGAAATTGCCTGCTGGTCCATGGGCTGGATGAGACAGAATTCTACAGACAATAGGTCTACCAAGTTTGGAGGATGAGCAGGAGCATTGTCCAGTACCAGTAGGCACTTGAGTGGCAATTTATGTTCCAGGAGGTATTTTTTCACACTCAGGTCAAATACATCATTCACCCACTCTTTGAAAATTTGCCTTGTGACCCATGTATTATTGTAAGCCCTCCACATCACACACAATTTACTCTTGAAAACATTGTGTTTCTTGAACACTATGGGATTTTCAGAGTGATACACCAGTAAAAGCTTCACTTTGAAATCCCCACTAGCATTAGCACAGAACAAAAGAATAATCCTGTCTTTCATAGACTTGTGTCCAGGCAGGGCCTTTTCATTCTGCATAATGTAGGTCCTCTTTGGCATTTTCTTACAAAACAGGCCTGTTTCATAACAAATGAACACTTGTTGGGGGAGGAATCCTTTAGCCTCTACGTACCCCTTGAAATCTTGCACAGATTTTTCAACCAAACATTTATCAGAACTTTCAGCCTCTCCATGCCTTACCACACTGTGTATGCCACTGTGCTTCTTAAGTCTCTCAGACCAGCCTTTGCTGGCCCTAAATTCACTAACAGAAGCACTTGTTTCGTTATCACATTTACTTCTTTCACAATATCAGCTTTCTTGATTTGTTATTTCTTTGCCAGGATGGAAGTGATGGTAGATTTGTTTTTCACATACATCCTGGCAAAGTTCCAACACTCGCATACCACTCTCAAATTTTTCAATCACTTCTCTCTTAAATTCCATCGTGTTTCTCAATTTCTTTACCACAGGAACTTTACTAGGAACTTTCTTTGGGGGCCATGCTTACTTATTTCACAGCTGCATTAATAAATAACAAAGAAAAACATTGATTTATAGCAAAATGTTTGGATGAATGAGCAGAAGATTCCTCACTCAGCCAGCGACACAGCTACACTGACTCAGGAATGCACGAGCGTCGCCGGCTGATAAGCGTCCAATACGGCCGATAAGCAAAATAACAACCAATAACTGGAAGCTGAAAAACCGGCCGATAAGCGAGTTGGCCGATAAGCGGAACAGCCGATAACAGAGGGTTCACTGTATTAGCCAGTTGTTTATTTAAGCTTATTGAATAGTAACCTAATTTTTGTTGTTACAGCCAGTGGATGATAACAGCCCACTCAAGATGCCTCAGGTAGTGACCCATGGAGCTACACGCTACAGCCGCCTCGTCAATGAGGCAGAAAGTCCTAATAGTGAATTTATTGAAAGAACTCTTGCTCAGCAACAGGTGCGTTCTATGCTTGTTTTTTATTTTGTTATACACTACTAGAAGCATTATTTTAAGTCTGTATTTTCTAATAGAACTGAAAGTGAAAAACGTGGTGCCACAGTAAATCCTTGATAAATAAGATAATAACTAAAACAGAAAATTTGACCACACACAGACTAGTATATATATATCCATTTATTGGGGTGTGCAATTTAAATAGCCAGAGGTGGACCAAATCCGATGTATCCCATGGCTGTCCAGTAAAGTTGTACCCTTAATAAAATGGACCAACTCTCTTAATTGCAAGTGTGTCCATTATAGCACAGGCTTCGTCCTAGACACATCCATTTTCACTGTTCCTGGGTAGCAGAGCCCGTGTCTCAGCCCACATCAGTTTGTTATTGTCAGTGTATGCTGTTATATACCATCCATCATCATTTCGTCTCCAATATTCCTTGGACGTAGTGTTTTTACATTACAGTACAATACTACTCTATAAAAGTACCATGTACAGTTTAATAAACAGTGGCCTCTTAATTAAGCAAGTAAAAATGCCAGTAGGTGTGTGACCTTGACTATTAAGTAAAAATTTGAATTAAGCTTAACTGTCTACTAGAAAAGTTTAGAAAAATACTGTACTCTACATACTGTAGAGTACAGTTAAAAGTACATTCTGTACATTTAACTCTTGCTTTGCAGGTATAGGTACAGCCGTACTGTACACTACTGTCTTGTAATATTGTACTCTACTTTATTCTTAGTATGTCTGGTAGTCCATCAGTATAGCAGGCTAAATACACTTCATTGGGCATTTTGGTGTCCAGTAGTTGATTGATTAAGCAGACTACATCTGCTTAATTGAAACTTCCAATGTGACTTATTTCTACTGAAACAGATACCCCTTTTCCCCTATTAGTCCATCTTATGGACGTTTCCTTTGTGTGAATGTACACTAATTTCATATTATCCTGTGAATATGTTGTACGTATATGGTATTCACCGAGTACTGTTGACATGATACAATATGTTTTTGTTGACCAATTTTATGATGGTGAAAGTGTTGAATGATGATGAAAGTTTTTTTCTTTCCTTTTGGGTTTATCTTTTTTTTTTTTTTTGGGGGGGGGGGGTCACCCTGCCATGGTGGGAAACGGCTGACGTGTTAAAATAAAAAAAAAAAATAATAATAAAAATATTTAAAGTAAGACTAATACAGGAACAGTGGGACACAGTTTGTGACTCCTGCTTGGTGGAACTGGAGCATTACTTTATACTTACAATACATACACCCTTAGTACACCACAGAATAGGTATTTCTTGTGCAAATTATTATATTGGGAGATATCAGCAAAAATAGTACATTTATTTTTGTCATGCATGACTTCTCTGCTTCCAGTGATGGAGTAAGGGTTAGGTTATTTTAGGTTGTGTTGTGTAAAAAGTTCTTTTACTGGGATTTTTTTTTTTTAACACATTGGCTATTTCCCACTGAGGGCAGGTGACCCAAAAAAGAAACACTTCCACCTTTTTTCACACTATCATTACTTGGAAGTAGCTACTCTTAACTCAGGCACTGCTTGGCTATTCTTATGGTGGTGTATTTACAAAATATCTAGATGATCCCAAATTGGCATATAAGAGGTTACAGACATGTAGATTGGCCTTGGCATTCATCACACATCATTTCTCCAAGCAAGTTGGGATTTACTAGGAAAAATATATTATAATTTGTTCTTAAAACTTATCAGTACTTATACTGTAACATGGTAGTCTATAGAAAAATGGGTTTTGCTGTGTGTAAATTGAGCCTAGAATCTCTCTTCTCTGAAATGCGGTATTGCCACTTAGCAGTGAATGACTTTAATTTATACAGAGATTTGATTTTTATTTTTTATTTGTGATCAAAAATTTACATAGCTTGGTACATGTTACTGGGTTCAGCCAATTGATGTATCTTTAAGTGAGGGCTTATTCTTTCTTTCTTTCAACACATCAGCCGTATCCCACCGAGGCGGGGTGGCCCAAAAGGAAAAATGAAAGTTTCTCCTTTAACATTTAGTAATATATATACAGGAGAAGGGGTTACTAGCCCCTTGCTCCTGGCATTTTAGTCATCTCTTACAACACGCGTGGCTTACGGAGGAAGAATTCTGTTCCACTTCCCCATGGAGGTAAGAGGAAATAAACAAGAACAAGAACTAGAAAGAAAATAGCAGAAAACCCAGAGGGGTGTGTGTATATATATGCTTGTACATGTATGTGTAGTGTGACCTAAGTGTAAGTAGAAGTAGCAAGACGTACTTGAAATCTTGCAAGTTTATGAGACAGAAAAAAGGACGCCAGCAATCCTACCATCGTGTAAAACAATTACAGGCTTTCGTTGTACACTCACTTGGCAGGACGGTAGTACCTCCCTGGGCAGTTGCTGTTTACCAACCTACTACCTAGGCGAGGGCTTATTATCTATACTAAAAAAAGAAAACATGTTTAAGTGATTCACGTTAAATGAATGTTGGGAAATAAAATGTCTGCTGCACTTAAATTTTTCTTTTCTTTTTTTATGTACTGCAGATGATTATGAACCAGCAAGATGGGCAGCTTGACCAGATAGCATCATCAATGGGGACTCTCAAGAACATGTCACGTCAAATTGGCCAAGAGGTCGATGAGCAAGCTGTGTAAGTGATGTCTTCTCACTAGTCTTTCTTATTATATGTACATTGGTACATAAATAATTACTATAAATGTACCAATATTTTGTCAAAATTGCATTAAACTTGTGTGGAAGTTACAGTGAAGATTTTACTTTATACAGTATATGTTTAGGGAGTGAAGAGAAAGGGTAAAAAAAATATACAGTACTGTAAAGTTGAAGTTTGTTAGAACACCAGAAATATGGTAAAAAAAAAAAAGAAAAATAATAAAAAAATATATATAATTCAATATGGTCTTGCCAGTAACAAGAAGTTTTAATGAAATATAAAAATCTTAATATGAAATAAAGTTTATTAGAAAATATAATACTTGACTATCCATTGTAATATCCAATACATGGTTTAAAGAAATAAATATGAGATATTTCAACCATATTTCACACTCAAGTATGAGTGAATAACAGTAGTAGAACAGTACAATATAAAGTACAGGGAGGAGAGAAGAGAAGAGAATGAATGAGTACAGCCTCTCCTCACTTAACGATGGAGTTCTGTTCCTAAGACCACATGGGTTTGTGTCAACCATCTTTAATATTTTTTTTTTTTTAATGTTACCTTTGCACCATTTATAACATTTCTGGTATATTATTAAATGTTTATACAGTAATGTACTGTATATTGAAATAAACAGAATAGAGGAAATCAGCTCTAATATACATTATTTAGGTATAAATACTGGTCAGAGAGCCCATCGTAAGTCTGAGGTATTGGTAAATGAGTATGTCGCTAAGTGAGGAGAGATTGTATTTACAACTGGGTGACAGAAGAGGGCAGAGGGGACTAATGATCAGCTCAGGTGACACCACAAGGTTGAACTGAGAAAGGAGAGGTATACAATAACCTTTAACCTTTTCAGGGTTGCCAGGCCCTCTCTGAGACTTGTTCTCAGGGTCGCCAAATTTTCAAAAAAAAAAATTAGTTTTTCTTATGAAAAGATAGAGAATCTTTTCCTGATCATAATGACACCAAAAGTATGAAATTTGAAGTAAAACTTACGGAATTATGCTCTCGCGAAGTTAGCGGTCTAGACGATGTTTACGCATCGGCGATTTTGCCCACTTTGAGCCCTATTTTCGGCCAATTCCACTGTACTAGTCGACAAAAATCATAACTATTTCGCTAGAACTCCATTTTTTATCTATCGAATGAGTACAAGAAACCACCCATTTACCGATTTCAACTATCCAATAAAGTCAGAATTTAGCAATTTTGCCAATTTCACACAAATTTCAAAAGTTACCAATTTCCAAATAGGGTCCAGAATAAACAAGAAAGACATTCCTGGCACTAAAATAACATTTCCTCTGTTCATTAGTCACGTCCCCACGACCCTCTTACGTTCTTTTGCTTTCCACTTTGAATTTTTATTCTCACAAAAAATAGAAAATTTACTGTTATGCAGACTACTGCATTAGTGTAGAAATGGTATAAATAATATCAGCGCACTTGTGAAAGAATATTAGACTCACCAGTTGACATGTATTGGACGCGTAGCATGATTTGTTTACTTTTGAACTTTGGTAAAAATCGAACATTTCTGCTACTTTGAGCTCAATTTCAAGGTACTTTTCATTGTTAAACTAGTCAAAATCATCTCAATTTCTGTAATATGTCTTCCATTCTATAAAATGAGACCAGGAAAACTAGAATACAACAATAACTACCATACGAAAATACAATGCAAAGTCGGTTTTAATCCAAAAACACAAAGTTTTTTTTTTCTCATTACGCACTGTGTGCTGCAGGATTTTTTTTTTTATACATGTACTGTGCACACTGACCACATAGACCCATTCTTTCATATGTAGGCCTACCAGCTTTCTCTCACTAGATTTGAGGGCGCTAGAATTTAGGCATACTAGTACGTCAAAAACCCTGGTGCGTAAGCAGTACTAGTGCGTCCAAAACCCTGAAAGGGTTAATAGACTGGTGGTACTGTAAAGTTTTTTTTTTTATTTTTTGCAACAAACCGGCTATATCCCACCAAGGCAGGGTGACCTAAAAAAAAAAAAAAAACTTTCGATTTTCTTTTTAAATTTAGTAATTTATACAGGAGAAGGCATTACTAGCCCCACTGTAGAAATTGTTGGAATTAATAACATCAATCATCACATCACAGTAATGGTAAATATATGGTCAGTTTCTGTTAGGAAACATAGTTATTTAAGACATGGATACAATTGGTAAATCCTGGAAACAATACCATTAGGTTGTTTTGTATAGCAATTTTTTAATTTAAAACTGCATAATTAAAATGTTTGAAAGCTATAAATTTTATTTCTGCTTATTTTGGTGGGAATTTATCACATGTGGGTCCTTCCATTTAACATCTAGCATAGTGTGCGAATAAGGAGCATGTCTGCTACAGATGTAGGTAAACCATTGCTGGAATAAAAGAACTAGTTTTCAAGAAGAAACCGGACCACTACCTGTTGCAAGTACGTAATATATAGCCAGGGTGTGATAGTTGTGTAGGTTTGCAAGCTGCTAACAGCAACAGTTTGATTAACCAAGTAGTCAACAAGGAAGTGTAGTTACAGACGTGAAAATCCACATGTTGATTTCAGGGATCATTGTCACTGTGCCTGCCTGTTCTCTCACCAGGCATCCTAGTAGGTCCGAGCAGTCAAGCTGTTGGTGCTAGCAGCATACTCCTGTATATGCAGGCACCAACCCAGCTGATCAGGAACTGACTCGAGGAACTTATCAAGTTCGCTTTGGAAGATGGATCTCTTGGTAATTTCCCTTATATATGAAGGGAGGGTATTGAAAAGTCTTGGTCCCTTTACACTTGTTACCCTTGAAACTGGTCATAAGTATATCACAGGTATACAGTAAATATTGAAGTAAAGGCTGAACAGATGTAAGGATAGCTTGGCAATTTTGCTACCTCTATGCATTGTTATGTATAGGCACCTAATCTCCAAGTACCCAATGTTTTAAGAGAAAGAGAAATGAAATGCAAAATGTATTTGCATGATAATTTTTACATACATTACTTCACTCTTGCAGGATGTTGGATGATTTTGGTCATGAGATGGAGAACACTCAGAGCAAAATGGAAAATACACTTAGTAAAATGGCCAAAGTCATGCACTTGTCTAATGGTTTGTATTTTAGTATAAGTATACTGTACTGTATTTTTATCATTAAGAAAATAGAAATAAGGAAGATGGAAACAAAAGTAAGTGATAAATGTATTATATTCATTGGGATTTAATATACAGAGAGAGACCTTATAGAGCATGCTTAAGTTTTTTTTTATTTGAATCCTATTCATTTTTGTCTGAGTTTATGCACTGTAAGTTTTTAAAATGTGGCTCAGACATGAAATTTCTATTATAAACTAGAAAATTGTACAGTGAAATGTTTGTTGTTGTTATATGATGAAATGAGTGGTGTTATCCACCAAAACAGATCACCCACAGCAGTCTACTGTGCAAATGAGCTATAACTGACATGTCCACTCCTAAATATCTAAATACATTCAATTCTTCCATTCTCCCTCCAATCTGATGTTCAGTCTATCATTGCCTAGATTTTGTTATTCTTATTACCTTGCTCTTTTATATGTTCACTTTCAATTTCCTGTTACATACCCTCCCAAATTCATGTATTGTTCCAGCCTTTATAATTTTCCTTCAGAATCCCCTAAAAGAACTGTGTCATCATTAAAGAGCAACTGGAATAATTCACACGCTGTATCACTCATCAGCATTCAGTCACACACCCCTTCCCAACACCCTAGTGATTACTTCTTTTACAGTCCCATCTATAAATGTGGTAACCACAATGACATCACACATCCCTTGTCTAAGTACTACTTTCACTGGGATATAGTTCCCATCCTTCCTACATACCTAAACCTGAACCTCATTTTCTGCTTCAATATTCTTAACTGCTTTTAGTAGCCTACCTCATATGTACAGTGTCAGAGGATGCAAGCTCTGAAAGCAAGAGCTCTCGCCATTTAGCTGTGGGTGTGCATCACTCGGGCAACTTTCTCTTAACATTTCCAATATCTGCAACTAATATGCATCTAGACCCACAGACCCTTTGTATTGCAGGAGTTCTCCATCTTTTTGTCCCCATTCATATTGAGTATTAAGTATTTGCAGCAAAGTGATAGTTGACCAGGATGGTCTGCATAGTCTAAACTGCTCAAGTTACAAAGATTTGCATGTTGGACAAAATGAAGTCAAGGAGATCAAGAGAAGCCTTGCTATAGCCCTGTGCTCAGCCAAGTGAAAGCTTTGGGCTGTACTGCCCAACTACTTGTTAGTGCAAGCTGACAAGTAGAAATGAAGACAATGAAAGATTCTTTCTTACCATTATTTTCATTTTCACTAAGTTGCATGCTGTGGTTGTTAGATTCAGTAACACCAGTGGTAGTTTGTCTTGCAAACTCATTTCTGACAGATTTTCCTGAAATATTGTACATGCTGTAAAATACCCGTCGGTACATAGCATTTATATGACCTTCATACATAACTGTGAATTAGGTGCTTCTCTGCTAGGCCTATGTTTTACATACATTTGCTTCACTTTTCAGTAATTTGGAAATATGAACATTTTTGAGATAGAGGTCTGCCATCACAAATCCAGCATCATTGGGACCTGTAGTGTGCCGGATTATTGAGTTTGCCAGATTACAGAGTGGTAGGTTAGAATACACTTAATAAAGTTAACCAACTTGACTTGTACAAGAAAGATCATTGAACATCAGCAAAAATCAAACATTTCCACTACTTTGAGCTCAATTTCAAGGTACTTTTCGTTGTGAAACCAATCAAAATCATATATTTCTGTAATATATCTTCCATTCTATCAAATGAGACCAAAAAATGAGAATACAACCATAAAAACCATACAAAAATATACTGCTGAGAAGTGAACTCCATTATTTATTGTCCGATTTTTTTCATTTTTGGTGTACGTTAAGAAGCATCTTTCCATCATACATTGCCCAAGTTTCAATAAGATAGCCCAACAAACAATTGGGAAAAAAAAATTTACCAAAAATCATAAACGGAAAGCCCAAGCCAGGTACTGGAAATAAGTCACTTTGTCTGACTTTTTTGGGTTATCCTTGGTTCTCTGTACATATGCTGCTATGTATTCAAATTCAAATTTTTATTTCTGTGCAAGTTTACAATGTGATTGACATGTTGTAGATAGGGAGTTTACAGTGTGTAATTACAATAATGATTTGCAGTGCAGAGAGAGCCACTATCGTGCCTAGGCATTATGGACAGACTAAATTTAATGGGTTACAGATGTATGATATTCTATGCAACTGTATTTGTGTATATCTGAATAAATTTACTGCTATTTTGCTGACTGAGTACAAGAAACCGCCCATTCACCTATTTCAACTACCCAATAAAGTGGTCAGAGATTGACAATTTCGCCAATTTCACACAAATTTCAAAAGATGCCAATTTCAGAATAGTGTCCAGAATAAACAAGGCAGACATTCCTGGCACTAAAATAACATTTTCTCTGCTCATTAGTCATGGCTCCAGGCCCCTCTTATATTACTCTTGCTTACCATTTGGAATTTTTATTCACACAAAAAAATAGAAGATTTACTGTTATGCAGACTAATGCACTATTGTAATAATTGTATAAATACAGTAATGTCAACCCATTCATGACAGCATACAGTGGACCCTCGGTTATCAACCGTTCCTCTTATCAGCCAGCTCGATGATCGGCTGTTTTTTCGGCTTCCGGTGATCAGCCGTTTCGGACATGTCCCTCTGCCGGCTGGGGTCGCTTGCGTGTCAGTATGGCTGTCTCTCTTGGTGTGTGAGGAAGCTTCTGCTCATACATCCAAACATTTCACTTGTTTTCCATTGTTTTTTATGGGTTTTTGCAGTGCAACTGCAAAATAAGTAACCATGGCTCCAAAGAAAGTTCCTGTGGTAAAGAAGATGAGAAATGCCATGGAATTTAAGCATGAAGTGTAGCAGGCATGCAGGGAATGTAGTAGGCATGCAGGGAGTGTAGCAGGCATGCAGGAAGGGTAGCAGGCATGCAGGAAGTGTAGCAGGCATTCAGGGAGTGTAGCAGGCATTCCAGAAACCAGCATTAGTCTTTAATAAATGTATGTAATACTGATTTAATTCTTAAAAAAAAAAAATATTTTTTGTGAATATTTTTGTCTGGAACAGATTAATTGTATTTACATTAATTCTTATGGGAAATATTATTTCAGTTTTTCGCCATTTCGGTTTTAGGCCGAGCTTTTGGAACGGATTACAGTCGATAACTGAGGATCCACTGTACTGGAATTTGGACTGGCCAGTCAAACACATATTGGATAATGACGTTTGCTTACTCTTGAACATCAAGAATCGAACATTTCAAGGTACTTTTTGTCTTGAAAGCAATCAAAATCATATCTATTTCTGTAATATATATTCCATCCTATCAAATGAGACCCCAGAAAAAGAATACAACCATAAAAACCATATGAAAATATACTGCTAAGGGGCAGCCAATAGCTGAGAAGTGAACTCCGTTATTTGTTGTCCGATTTCTTTCATTTTTGGTGTATGTTAAGAAGCATCTTTCCATCATGCATTGCCCAAATTTTTAGTTTACTAAAAATCATATATGGCAAGCCGAAGCCAGGTACTAAAAATAAGTCACTGACTTTTTTGGGTTTTCCTAGGTTATTTTTTTTATTATCACACTGGCCGATTCCCACCAAGGCAGGGTGGCCCGAAAAAGAAAAACTTTCACCATCATTCACTCCATCACTGTCTTGCCAGAAGGGTGCTTTACACTACAGTTTTTAAACTGCAACATTAACACCCCTCCTTCAGAGTGCAGGCACTGTACTTCCCATCTCCAGGACTCAAGTCCGGCCTGCCGGTTTCCCTGAACCCCTTCATAAATGTTACTTTGCTCACACTCCAACAGCACGTCAAGTATTAAAAACCATTTGTCTCATTGACTCCTATCAAACACGCTCATGCATGCCTGCTGGAAGTCCAAGCCCCTCACACACAAAACCTCCTTTACCCCCTCCCTCCAACCTTTCTAGGCCGAACCTTACCCCGCCTTCCTTCCACTACAGACTGATACACTCTTGAAGTCACTCTGTTTCGCTCCATTCTCTCTACATGTCCGAACCACCTCAACAACCCTTCCTCAGCCCTCTGGACAACAGTTTTGGTAATCCCGCACCTCCTCCTAACTTCCAAACTACGAATTCTCTGCATTATATTCACACCACACATTGCCCTCAGACATGACATCTCAACTGCCCCTCCAGCCTTCTCCTCGCTGCAACATTCATCACCCATGCTTCACACCCATATAAGAGCGTTGGTAAAACTATACTCTCATACATTCCCCTCTTTGCCTCCAAGGACAAAGTTCTTTGTCTCCACAGACTCCTAAGTGCACCACTCACCCTTTTCCCCTCATCAATTCTATGATTCACCTCATCTTTCATAGACCCATCCGTTGACACGTCCACTCCCAAATATCTGAATACATTCACCTCCTCCATACTCTCTCCCTCCAATCTGATATCCAATCTTTCATCACCTAATCTTTTTGTTATCCTCATAACCTTACTCTTTCCTGTATTCACTTTTAATTTTCTTCTTTTGCACACCCTACCAAATTCATCCACCAATCTCTGCAACTTCCTAGGTTGTCTACACACATGCTGCTATGTATGATAATGTATGTAGAGTAAATAGCTTTTTTGTTTGTTTTATGGTGCATTACAAGTGTATATCACAATTAGCCCTGTGCTATACTCTGTTTTCTCTAATATAAGCCGTAAGACAAGGATAGGAGGGTGGTACTTGTATCGTATATCCTCTTCATACCTCCGTCAAACCGCTCAGTATTATGCCAAATATTATTCATTCTGCAGTATTTAACATTTTTATGTTACTTATATTGTTTATTATGTCATATTAGATCAGTTGTGATAGGCAAATAAGCTGTAGTTTTGATATTAGCGTAATAAAGCATATTCCCCTGCATCACGAGACTAAGCTCACGGCAACCGACTGGCTTCAAAGCCACCACATCTTTAATGGACAATGTACTGTGTATGTGCTTTACACAACAAGATTTCTTTTATTCATTGGAACTATGGCTAGGGCTATAAGTAAGCAGGTTATAACAATAAATGAAGAGAAAGAAATTGGAATGACTTGTGCAGCAAGTAGCACCACCAAACAGTAGCAGCAGGTTGGTGTGGCGACTCTGGAAATTTGAAATTATGCTAGCCGAAATTAGTGCTGAATAACTGATGGAACCGGATGTCTCATTGCCGGATTTATGATGGCGGACCTGTAATAAGTATTGAAATTAATGTAGGTGAATATGCTATAGAACTTTTGGTATAGTGTACTCTATAACTGTCCCTTGTAGTAATTCCTATTTATAAATATTTAAGTTTTTTGACTATGCCTCAGAATTGTTTTTATATTGCAGATCGACGTCAGTGGGCTGCAATTGGTGCACTTTCAGGAGTCTTAGCTGTAGTATTAATCCTTTTCTTTGTACTTTGAATTTATGTATAAAGGTATACATATACAAAAAATAGGTTATTGTTTGTATGAAACTAACACAAAAGTATTTTGAGCATTTATTTAAATGCTGTAGAACCCTAGTTATTTGCACAGATTTAGAATGTACTAACCTAAAACTTTTATTTATACTTTGCTAAAGATTTTAAAATAGAAATAGAAGATAAAGTGCTATTTAAAATTTAAATAATGCAGTAAAATTATCTTAATAAATTTGGTATTTATTTTAATCAGGAGGAAGTACAAAACCTGTAGGGATCATGCGACTCCTAGGGGATGAAGTAATCAGGATAAGTCCAATTGTTTGGATTCAGAATCCCTCACTAGTACCAAAGCACCTCCCTTGAGGGGGACTAGGCTTCGTAATATAAAAACATTAGTACTGTGGATTATAAGTTGAAGAACAAGGGCTCAGCATTGCTATTACTGTTATATAGCATACTAACAAACAACTGCAGATCACAAACTGCTTGTTTGGAGAAAGTAAATCTAGTGAATTTATTATATTTTATGCTGTTAATTAATGTGGCTAAAAGAAAGCAGATTTTGTTCATTGTGCTTTATAAAAATAGATGCTATTTAAGGCCATTAAATTAGGTTTAAGCTTTCTAGGTATGTCGAGGTAAAAATTAAACTATGACTTACGGAATGTTTCTGGAAATACACATCACACTAATAGTGCTAAATTTGTACAAATCTTTAATTGCTGGAAATGTATATTATATTGAAAAACCAGCACTAACCCTGTACAAATCATACTGCTCATGGAAATTTTGATAGATGAAAGATCAGTGTTTTTTAAATGTTTTACTTTATAAGAATGAATTTGCATGTAAAATTTTATTATGTTCCAAGTGATAAAACACCATCATAAATTTTTAATATCTGTCCAGCTTGTATTTATGACTGAACTAATTTGATTCCAATCATAAATACAAGTTTGACACGGTGTAGTAATTTTTTTTTAACACACTGGCTGTCTCCTACTGAAGTAGGGTGACCCAAAAAAGTAACGCTTTCACCATCATTCATACTATCACTGTCTCGCCAGAGGTACGCAGATATGACAGCTCAGGTGACCCTCGAAACAGCAAATATCCCCACCCCTCCTTTAGAGTGCAGGTACTGTACTTCCCACCTCTAGGACTCGAGTCTGGCTAATTGGTTTCCCTGAATCCCTTCACAGAATTTTACTGTATCCACAAAAAGAACTAAATTTTTAAATATTGTAGTAGAGAGCCATGTGAAGAATTGAAAAACATTGAACCAATAGGTCAGAAATTCTTCTGGAATATAGAGCTAAATTTTTGAGAAATTGAACAGCTTTCTGCTATAAGTGTGGAATCAGCCAGGTCATGATGGCTGTGGGTTTCCAGGCCACTAGCACAAATAGCCTGGCTAACCAGGCAGTTAAGAAGGTCTGGCCCCAGGCTGGGCTGCAGGTGTATGTGAGCCCTTGAAACCTCTTATAGGTATATGAATGTCCTTGCCCCCCAAAGAAAAATTTTAATTTTATGTTTTATCACTTGTAAAATAGTACCATTTTAAAACTTATTTTGAGAGTAAATATTTCCGGATTCATTCCTTAAGCCTCGGTACTCTCGTACAACTTTTCAAGGAATTATGTCTCTCCACAATAATAATGAAGTACTTTCCTAATTGGATATGCCTTGATGTTGGTGAGAGAGAGAGAGACTTGATCCAAAGGAATTCTACCTATCCTCAGATTGGATGTGATTGCTTCTAATCCCCCAGGCACTGTATGTCTCCTATAGGGTTTATACTCTCTTTTCTTCCCATAAACTGGATTGTTTTATAAAAGATATGACTTAGTTGTGTGCCATTGAATGTTTGTGATCAATAAATATTGAAAACTGAGTGATAAAATGTGCAAAAAGGCAAAGGGTTCTGCTATATAAATGATTTTTGAATATCTTCATAGCTTATAAAATCTTTATCAGGAGAGCATAAATATTTTGTAATTGAAAATATTGAATGGTTTATTTGGATATGCTAGTTTGTACAGTGTAACTTAAGTACCATATGTGGTAATTTATTAGGAAGTAGATTTTTTAATATGTTTTAGATATAGTCTAGGTCCACATTGTGACCCTGTTGTCTTCCTGTGTACTGTAACTTAATCCTATATTGACTTCTTTTCATTTGCTTGAAGCTCTATAATTGTAGCAGCTTTAAGATTTTTAAATCACATTATATAATTTTTAATTATATGATTTAATTTTAGCCATTGCTACTTCAGTAACTTTTAATTAAATCATAATACTATGTTTTTATATGGGTTTTGAGTGCTGCAGTGAGGTGGCCATTAAAGGCAGTGGAGATGTCCTGTTTGAGAGCAATATGATGCAGAGAATTTGGAGCATAGAAATTAAACTGATACAGGGTCACCAAGGATATAATTCAGAGGGCTGAGGAGGAATAGTTGCCAGAGAGGATAGGATGATTATATAAATTTGGAGTGGAAGATAGAAAAGGTATTTACCCCAGGAATGGTTGGAAGGAGGAGATTATTATTATTATTATTATAATCAAAAAGAAGCGCTAAGCCACAAGGGCTATACAGCGGAAGGAGGAGATAAGAGAGGCTTTTGAGTTTTAGGGGCTTGAACATCCAGCACAGGACATTTGTACAAGTGAATACAAACAAGTGGTTTTTAATGAACATGCTGTTCCAGGACTTGAGTCCTGGAGGTGGAAAGGGCAATGCCTGAATTCTGAAGGAGTGATAGGGATATTGTGAGCAGAGGGTAATCTGATATGTGACCTTAGCACACTTCTGGAAAAATGACTATTGAGTAAATGTTGGTGAATGTATTTTCTTTAGGTCACCCTGCCTTGGTGGGAGATGGCCATCGAGTTATAAAATAAATAATTTATATACAATGTATACATATAAATTATTTTATAACTCAGTGGCCATCTCCTGCCAAGACAGGGTGACCCAAAGAAAACACATTCATCAACATTCACTCATTCACCTTCTTTCAGAAGTGCTAATAATTTATGTATTATATACACACACAGGCTTGAACTCTTTAATTTGCTGGGTTAGGTTCCTGGGAGATGACTCAAATCATGAAGCCATGAATAGGAAATTTTGTATATCCTAGTTTTTTTTTAATTAGCTGTTTCCCCAGGAAGCTAGGGTAATCCATGAAGGGAAACACATTTAGTAGATGTCTTGCCAGAGGTGCAGGTAACACAGTTCAGATGCATTGTCCTCCACACACCAGCACCCTCCTCTCCTTCCGAGTGTACATACTGTATTTCCCACTTCCAAGGCTCAGGTCCAGCATCTCTTCATATTAAGTCTCTTTCACTTCCCTCCAACCCTTCCTGGAATGATCCCTACATTTCTTGCTACCCTGTATTTATACACCCTCTTCACTACCTTATTCTGCTTCATCTTGAGTGGCCTCCACACTTGGCATTTTGGAGTTTTGTAACTCCAAACATTTCTGTGGCCCCAGTTCTGCACATAATGTTTAAACCACACATTGCTCTCAACCATGACATCTCCACTTGCTTCCAACTTCATTGATGCAGTATTTGAAGACCATGCCTTCTCACATGTGTTGTATCGCTATACAGTGGTACCCCCGAGTTTCGTACATAATTTGTTCCAGAAGGCTGTTCGACTGCCATTACCAAACGAATTTATTCCCGTAAGGAATAATGTAAATTAAGATTAGTCTGTTTCAGACCTCCAAAAATACACTTACATAATTGTCTGAGTTGGGAGCAGTATGAAACTCAGGGTACCACTGTACTTTGATATAATTCCCTTCCCCTCCTTACTTTCCACAGATGCCTCAACACATCCTTTCCCCTGCATCTGTTCTATGGTTTGCCTTGTTTATCAGTTTAACAATGAGATGTTGAAATATTAAGAAAAAAAGTTTATTTCTATAAATATTGATATATATTTTATTTTTTAAAGAAACTATGAATATGAAAAGTTCATCAAAAGCTAAAAGTTCAGGCATTTTTTTTTTCCTCTGTATACAATATAGTTTTCAGAATTGCCCACATATTGGTTACCTTGTCATTCATAACATTTATCCAGTTGCTATAAATGAATAAAATGTCAGAACCATTTCTGGAACAATTTACCAAAAACCTGCACTTAAAAAGAACCATGTGATGATTCATTTCATCCTGGACCATTGTCAAGTCACATGTTGAGAGTCTGCAATGGTCCAGGATGGACCAAAAGGTTGTCAGAGTTCTTCTAAGTGTAGGTTTTTTGTGCATTACAAATGTTTCAGTGAAAAGAGTTCTATATGCTTAGGTTAAGCACTATTACAGCTTTTTCAGTGTATATCATTTACATATTAGGTAAACAGGTCACTATGCAATGTGTGTGTATAATATACATATATACACACACAGTGGTACCTCGGAATACGAACTTAATTCATTCCAGAAGGCTGTTCGAGTGCCAATACTGAATGATTTGTTCCCATAAGGAATAATGTAAATTAGATTAATCCGTTAGACCCCCAAAAATACATTTACAAAAGCACTTGCATAAATGTTCGAGTTTTCAGCTGTTCGTGTCCCGAGGTACCACTGTATACATATATATATATTCAAGCAGTGTCTTGCTCTTCTGACATCGGGATACCATACAATTTTCACGAGGATAAATTATACACTAATGTCTGTTCTGTTAGTTTTTACCTAATCCATTTGTACTTTGTGTATGTTCATTTTATTTATGTTTAAAGACCTCACATATACCGAAACCATTTATGCGTTGTTCATTTTATATACATATATACGTATAAATGAAACCACGAAACGAGTGGTAGTAGGTTGGTAGACAGCAACCACCCAGGGAGGTACTACCGTCCTGCCAAGTGAGTGTAAAACGAAAGCCTGTAATTGTTTTACATGATGGTAGGATTGCTGGTGTCCATTTTTCTGTCTCATAAACATGCAAGGTTTCAGGTATGTCTTGCTACTTCTACTCACACTTAGGCCACACTACGCATACATGTACAAGCATATATATATATACACACACCCCTCTGGGTTTTCTTCTATTTTCTTACTAGTTCTTGTTCTTGTTTATTTCCTCTTGCCTCCATGGGGAAGTGGAACAGAATTTTTCCTCCGTAAGCCATGCGTGTTGTAAGAGGCGACTAAAATGCCAGGAGCAAGGGGCTAGTAACCCCTTCTCCTGTATATATTACTAAATGTAAAAGGAGAAACTTTCATTATTCCTTTTGGGCCACCCTGCCTCAGTGGTATACGGCCGGTGTGTTGAAAGATATATATATATATAATATATATTATATATATATATATATATATATATATATATATATATATATATATATATATATATATATATATATAATATGAACTCATTCTTTTAAGTAGAGATTGGTCAGGAACTGTAGATTTATGTTGTGTTAGTATGTCAGTGGTTGGCAAATAGGACACGACAAGGGTTGGTGGGTAAAATGGAGGTGGGCGAGAAGGGAGACACTTGCCAAGTGCTGGTGGCCACATTCAGCTAGTGAGCTGCAACACTACAAACACCCTCACACTTGATACTGTCTTCATTTCCTACCCTCTTTCACACCAACCTACTCTCGTATATAAAATAATGTTTAATAGTGAAAATTAACAGTACTGAATGTAATAAAATCTGAAATTAGATCAGAAATATTTTGGCTTGGGAATGTAGTAATCTACCTTGCCTTATTTCTTATAAGAAAATAGGCTTTTAATTGCAAGTTGACAACTTGCAATTAATTTTTTGGAATACATTAACATTGCCTAACCCTACTATGCATCGTGTAGAAACCGAATACTCCACATTGAAATTGGGTTTAAAGCTCCGAGTTTGTTGACAAGTATTATTTCAAGAGACTGGCAGTATTCAAATATTGCCTCAAAATCACATAATTTGATGAAAACGTAGAAAGTTTTGGAATACGGTAAAAGGTAAGGCCAATAGGTAGTTAGGACTGTGTTTACAGAGAGACCTTTATTACAGTTTCTTGCAGGACTGGACCTTATCAAGCATACTCATTACAGGTTTACTTGAAGTCCAGTCCTGAACAAAATGCAATAAGTTTTTCTACCATTGTAACTGGAATTGAGTTTTAAATTTTTGGGGTTTGAATACAATCATGATTATTCTTAATTGTTAATTAAGCTATTAATCTTGATCTAATGAGTACTTCAGGAATTTGAAATTAATGGCATTATTGGGTGTATCACATAACCCTATGACAATAACAGTACATCCATAGGGATGTGCTAACCTCATAGGGGGTCATGCAGTACCCAAGGAATGAAAGGTTAAGATCCAAGAAGACTATTTGTTCCCTAAAATAACTAGAAATAATTTTCTTAAAGATAGTGTAGAAGTTCATGGATTAAGGAAGGATTGCAACATTTTGTAATGGTTTATGGGGATTTAACCTAAAAATATATACGTATTGGCTCTTAGTGGCAAAGTCTGAGATTATATCAGATACCAACTTTTTTTCCAAAGCATGTGTCATTGCTTAGTAATGATAATTTGTGACCATTTTAACAAAAAAAATATTGATGAACTATTTTGTATGTAAAATGTTTACTGTTCTGTTGTACATACAATGGTATGTTTATAAATTTAAAAGCTTGGTTTTTATAATAGATCATACATTGAAATTTACATGTAATATTTGTTATTGACACCCTCAAAGTTCTTTGACACTGGTGAGGGGCTCCTGATTCAAGAAGTTGTACCTGGCTTTCCCTTCCTTCCATCAGATCTAATTGCCTCCCATTTCTCCAAGGCTCTCTATGACCCCCCTTTCCCCCCAACAGGGGTCATATAGAGCCTTCCATGAAGTATTAGGGGTGGCATTCATTCATTCATTAGAGATTCGCCGGTACTTCCGGCCCGGTCTTCTCCATATGGCGACCTGGCTATTTAGGGGTGGCATAACTGAATTATATTCATGAGGAAGTGCTTCACCCAAAGTCATACAGTGCCTGAGCAATGGGAAGCAATCAGAGGGTTCTAAATTCTTCAGATTAAAAGCCCTTCACCAGCCTTAAAATAATGCCCCTGAAGGATGGCAGTAGGACTGGAATAATATGAGGCCATACTTTGTGTTTGGAAGATGACCAATTCAATAAAGTGTGTGTGGAAAGGTGCTCAACTCTCAAATTTTTATAAGATATAGAATAACTAGAAATACAGTAGTAGTGTTGTGTATAGTCTTTGTATGTGACTGGATTTTAGAATGCTCTTTGTTCAAATGGGTTCACTGCTGTCCTGTTTATATTATACAGTATATTATTGTATGTTAATTGACACAAATCCACAGTTAATTCTTTGCAGTTTTTATTACCTTGCAAAAAAAAAAAAAATGCCTGGATTTGCTGTGTTTTGTATAAATGAGCTCTTCCCAAACAAAAGTGAAATGTATGGTTATATGATAGTTGTAGTGCAACAGAATCTTATTGGTTAATCTCGATGCATTAAAAAAAAAAAAACAGCCAGACACATTTGCTTGCATGCACATTGTTAGGGTACAATACAGCATACATACATCTTATATTTGACAATTAAGAGTTAAGTTGGGCAATTTTTACCAGAAAAAACTTCAGGTTTCTTTAAGTAACTAACACAATGACAGTAATCTCTAAAATGAAAATTAAATGGCTCTAATATCAGTTAGATTTTAACAGGATTAAGCTTATACAGTGGAACCTCAGTACTCGAACTTAATTCACTCCAAAAGGCTGTTTAAGTACCGAACGAATTTTTCCCAACCAATTTTCTTTTTGGTTGGCTGTTATCACTAATCTTTATAGGCCCTATCATGACTTGTTTATACAAATATATATATAAAAAAAAAATAGTTTCCAGTGAAGTTCTGGTAGGTTGAGTGCTGAGCAATTTTTTATCGAACAAAGTGTTTGAATACCAAGGTTCCACTGTGTATTTACAGTGTGGTGCCAATCTCGGACAAGATTGCAATTTATCCTTATCAACATTCCATATTATTGCTTTTATAAGTTGTTTCAAACGTGGCAGCTAAATTAATTTTTCAAGCCTTTTTAATCTGCTAATATCAAAATTTTATCACCAGTATGTGGTGCTTAATTTACAAATATTCTATTAGCATGCTTGTACTACATTGACTTTCAGAATCGGTTTACTTCTTTCTAAAAGCTAGAATTTAGTACGGCAAGGTACTATTGTATTTGAACACAAATGTGGTTTCAGGCTCCTGGATTTTAAATACCACATACAACTAAGACAAACCCTCTAGGTAATGATTGCATCAAACTGTGTGATAATCCTTCCCACAATGGGAAAAAATATATGTGCATGTACACACAATATCCTAATGCCAACCTGTTCTATTGCTGCAACATTATACTGAAGGCTGTATATACACAAATATCTAAAGACTAATCTATATCTCTCTCTCTCTCTCTCGCACACAATTTTCATTGTATTGCCACAAAATAGACCAAGGTAAACGAGGCTTATTGCACATACCTTCATTTTTATATACGTTACCATTTCACACTGAATAGTTAAAATACTTATGTTTGTTAGTCTTAGGTGCAATGAATAATTTGTGGTATTCCAAAAAAAAAAAAATTGCATGGTTATTATACGTATGGAGGCCATAGGTGCTTAAGATTTATAAATTCATAACATATGTCTGAACTGAGAATAATTTATATCTAACTTTACATTAACTTTTTTTTTTATAAGGTGCAGTGAGAGCTAAATCAATAACACAGTCTGAGGAAATATTAAATTTCAGACATGCGCAGTTTAATTTAATATGTACCAAAATGAAGTACAGCTGCATATTTAAAATTAAAAGATTTTCTCATATTGCCTTTATATAGATCACACTACAGTGAACATTACAAAATTAGACATACAGCAAAATAACAATAATTTAATACCAGGAAAGTTATTTTACCATATATCTAATTGCGTGTTGTTCACTACTTCGAGATTTATTCACTATTGTGAAGTTGCCACAGTGCTGTATAGCCCTTGTGGTTTAGCACTTCATTTTGATTATAATATGAACTTGCCTAAACTTTTCTTTAGCTCAATTTAATATATGTAGGTGAATGCATTTTAGAGAAATGGTGATAAAATTCTTAGATTTGAATGATGACAATGTGCCACTACGTGTCAAGTTATGCAGATCTCTACTCAACACACTTTATTGTACACCATAAATAAAGTACTGTACATTAATTTTTGTTTCGTTTTTATCAACAGCTGTCTCTTACCAAGAGGCAAAAAAAAAAAAAAAACCCTTGCACCATCAGTCATTAACCCTTTTGATGTTGAACCCAGTGTCAGTCCGTAGTACTATGCCACGAGGTCAGCTCACTCAGATAAGCTGTAAATTTTGGCCTAGATATAAGAGAATGGGTCTATGTGCACCACCAAAAAAAAATCCTGCATTATTATAATCAAAAAGAAGCGCTAAGCCACAAGGGCTATACAGCGCTGCAGGGCAGGAAGGAAGAGAGGGCATCAGGTGGCAAAAGGGAGGTGGATGAGTAATAGGTTACGGATAACAGCGGAGCAGTGGATGGTGAAAGGGTAAAGGGCAGCAAGAGACTGAGCTAAGTGCATATGGTATCATCATCAGAGTTTGTGGAGTAAATCAGT